TCCGGTTTTCCCCTCCATATTTATAAGCTACATCAACATGCCTTTAGAGTATTTGGCTTCTGCTATAAATATCCACGCGATAAGCCGCTTCCTTTGGCTATCATTTGTGGCCAGGTCGCTTCTGAAAAAAACAGCTATAACAGTTCCCTTGGGGGCCTGACCTGGTCAAATAATCAATAAAAACGTGTTCAGCGAGTTTAGATTCGAAGTCACGTGGGGTTCTCGTTCCCCCAGGTGAGGGAGCTCGAGGAGCGCGCCCGGGAGAGCGAGCGGCCTCCTGGAACACGCGTGCCCCCCCCCACTCCGCGGGGCAGCGTGCCGAGTGCACCCCACACCCCACCCCCCACCACCACCCCTACCACCACCCCCCACCACCACCCTCCACCACCACCCCTACCACCACCCCCCACCACCACCCCCCACCACCACCCCCACCACCACCACCCCCCACCACCACCCCCCGCGCAGACAGAGAGACAGACGCCGAGACCGCGATGGTGCCTGGCACACGCACAGAGAGAGGTTTATTTACGTAGTAAAGGGTTTTTGTATACAAAGAGGAGAGTCGCGCTCTGGTCCACCACCATCACCACCACACGTCCGTCCGTGCGGGGGGTGCAGGGGGGGACGGGAGGGAGGCGGCTTGTACCGCGCAAGTGCTGTAGGGAGGGGCAAGGGTGGGTGAAGGTCAAGTGATGACCCCCCCCCAGACTCAGGGACTCCGTGGTTTAGGGGCCCGGTAGGGGGAGGGAGGGCGGGGGGGTCTCTGGCTGCCGGCACAAGGGGCGACTGAACTCTGCGTGAAGACAAAAAAAACACTGCCGTGGCTGGGGGGCAGATAGCAACATCCCTCCCATACATACACACCCACATACACACACACATACACACACACACCCACACATACACACCCTCACACACACCCACACATACACACCCACAAACCCACACACCCCCACACACAACAACCGTCATTCGCCACTAAGTGGCGGTGACGTCACCACGACGCTTGTGCCAGGCCATGTGCACCTTGAGGCCACGTGAATTGTCGAACGCCCGCTGGCAGGAGGTAATTTTAATTAATTACCACTAAACCACCCACATACACACACACACCCACATACACACTCACACACATACACACTCACAAATACACACTCACAAATACACACAACAAAAGACAAAGATCCCCCATATAGCCTTAACAGACTGTAGGGGCAAGTGCTGTTAGCGAGCACCTATGAAGGCCGGAACGGTACACGAGGGGGTGGGTGGCCAGCACCACGCCCGACCGCCTTTGTCTCCCTAGTCGCGATGTTTACACACCGCACCAGGTACTCATTTGAGGCTGAGTCGACCTAGGGGAGGCCCGGGACCGGTTCAGATAATCGTCACTGGTGTTGGCTGTGAGCGGGAATCGAACCCGGGTGCCAGGTTCATAGCGCAGCGCGCTAACCGCTACACTATCGCTCCCCACACTCACACACACACTCAAACATACACTCACACACACACTGACACAATCGCACACACACGCACACTCTCACCTACACACTCACCTACACACTCACATACACACTCACAAACACACACACATACACACTTACATACACCCACATATACACACTCACATACACACACATACATAAACACACATACACACACACACTCTCACAACCGCCATTCATCACTAAATATAAGTGACGTCACCACAGCGCTTGTGCCGGCCTCCGCGCACTTTAAGGCCACGTGAAGTGTCGAATGCCCGCTGGCAGGAGGTCACGGGACAGACCCAGGTGAAACGGGTCGACTGACTGAGATGGCTGGCCGATGCACCACCTGTGCCCCCTACTGTGCCAACTTGCTGTGTTTTAGCTGCCCGGCTCTCCGCTCGTTGTTGTGAGCATTGCTCCTGCCTCCAACTTGCCGATCTTGACACCGCTGGTGCCAGTCATCGGCAAGTCCACTCAGCTCTACATCCTCATGTACCACATCACTCCATCTCTTCTCTCGCCAGTGCCGCGCCCATTAAGCCCCCTCTATCTGGCCGAAAAAAAGCTGTTTAGGCATGCGGTGATTGGGCATGCGGGCTACATGACCCAGCCAACGCAGCCTTGCCTGCCGGAGTAGCTCACCGATGGGACTTTGTCCAGATCTGTCATTGATCTGTGAGCTCCTCATACAATCCAGTCTGGTTAAACCAAAAGATGGACGGTAGACAGGTCAGCCTGAATGTTTCTAACTGGCGAAGGTGTTCCATTAGGGGGGGGGGGGGGCTCAAACTTTCGCAAGCACAGAAAGGGGAGGGAATGACCGTGGCCGAAAAGACTCGGAGCTTCGTGCGGAGCGACAGACCAGATAGCTTCCACAAAGCAATGCGCAGCCGATGAAAAGATGCCGCTTGACTAATTCGGAGTGAGAGCTCTGCTGTAAAACCAGAGCTGGTCATAAGCACACTGCCCAGGTATGGAAATTCTCCACTCTCTCCGCAATTGCCCCAACATCAATGGGGAGTTGAGGGGGTGGAGTGTTTGATGGCACAAAATACTGTACAATGACACACACATTCACATACACACAAAATACACACACAAAATATATACACACACACACGTGCGCATATATACATACACACACACACAACACGCACGCGCATACACAAAACAAAGATCCCCCGTGAAGCTTGTCAGACTGTTGGGGCAAGTGCTGTTAGCAAGCACTAATGAAGGCCAAAACGGTACAAAAGGGGGTGGATGGCCAGCACCACGCCCGGCCGCCTTTGTCTCTCCAGTGGCGATGTTTACACACCGCTCCAGGTACTCATTTGAGGCTGAGTCGACCTAGGGGAGGCCCAGGATCGGTTCAGATAATCGTCACTGCACTGGTGTTGGCCGTGAGCGGGAATCGAACCCGGGTTGCCGGGTTCATAGCGCAGCGCGCTAACCGCTACACTACTACTCCCCATCATACACACGTACACACACGCACACACACACGCGCATATACACACAATCAACCACTATCCGTTAAGCTTCCACAGATACTGAATTCCACACTCGCTCCCAGACGCATTAAAAACTCGACACAGACTGCCCACCGGCTGTGGAGAACACCGCGGGGAACGACAGCGAGAGACACGAGGGGACTCGAAGGGGCTCCAGCAGCAACATAACTCCGGGTTCAACAGCAGACCCAGGGTTCAGACACCCACCCACCCACCCGGGCGTGGACACAAAGACGCGTCCCTGGGTTGGGATGCAGCTCAGACCCAGGCCTGACACCACCACCGCCGTCGTCGCCATCGCCATCGTCATTGTCACAGCTTCTTCTTTGAACCTCTCTCTGCATATTCCGTGTGAGCAAGTCGAGATGAGCAGAGCTCCCGGTGAACTCTGCCTCAAGCCCTCTGCTCACCATGGCCAGCACCAGGAAGAGGCCATGAGGAGGGAGGCTTTTGCATGTGGATCCTGGTCCATCTGGAGCCAAAGTCCGGTTCGCGTGTTGTTCACTGCACCGGCAGAGCTATATGGGGTAGCAGTCTGTAGTGGGGGGGGGGGGGTGTGTACGCTACTGTTGCCGGTGCTGCGGCAATGAAGAAACCCCGGCGCGGAGCAAGTCCACTGGGAGCCAGACTACCCCGGTCCCGCATCGTCAGTGCATTGGTCATTCGCGTCCGCCGTGAAACGGCTCCGTCCCGCCTCTTCCCGAGAGCCTCCGGGCGGGGCGTGAGCGTTGGGGGGGGGGGGGGGCTTGGTAATCCAAGGGGGGGGGGGCTGTGTAATTCATGGGGGGGGGGGTGGGGGCTGTGACTGGGAGTCGCTGGGCTTCCAGTGATTATTTGTGGCTCAAATAAGCGCTCTTCATGCAAGTGAAACAAACAAAAACCCACAAAGTTGTGAAAAATGAATCGGTCCGACGGACACGAGTATACCTCTTGTACCCCACTTCGGAGACGTCTCTCCCGTGCCCAGCGCACTCTCGTCCCCTCACACGGGCACGCCGGTTCAGAGCGCGTGGCAACGAGAGGGAGATGATCCGCTGGGTTAGGCCGAGCGAAGGTCTCCAGCCTCTCACGTGGGTATCCAGCAAGGCCTGTGTAAGAACTCCCTCACAGCTAACCCTACCCGACAATCCTACCGCTAATCATAACCCTAGACACTAACCCTACCCGACAATCCTACCGCTAATCCTAACCCTAGCCGCTAACCCTAACCGTTAACCCTACCGCTAATCATAACCCTAGCCGCTAACGCTAACCGTTAACCCTACCGCTAATCATAATCCTAACCTAGCCATGACCACAACTTACCCCTGCCAAAATCCCACGCTCCAACTCTAACCTCTAACTCCAGCCCTGGGCAAATCACAGCCCTAACCCCCGAGCCCTAAACCCTCACCTTGAGCCCTAGGCCAAGGTGGCGAATCCAATGTTAGTCTGCTCAGCGAGGGGGCGTGAACTCATCCCGTACGAGCCAAGGGGGGCATCACGGGGGTGCGGTAAGAGACCGGCGCCGGCCTTCTCGACTCCGCTACGGCGTCCACAGCTCCACACGCCGATGGACGCCAACGCTCGCCACGGGTGGCCGTATCGACCTCGGCGGTGGACGTGGCCCCCGCCCCCCCCAGCGACGGACGCCGCGTGGCGAACCCTTCCTTATCTGGCGGCCACATCGGCCGCGACGGCGCCGTCACACCGCCGCCGCTGCACGTATCGATCGCCGTGGGAGCCTCCCGCTCCTCTTGCCCCCCCCCCCACACCCCCCTCCCCCCCGCCCGCTCACAACGACTCGTCAGAATCTTGCCATCGGCGTGCGCGTCCGTCGGAAGGCGGCGAGTCCAGGGAGCACGCGGAGACAAATAAATAAACGCTCCCCGCGGCGGGAGCTTCCCCCTCCGCCGCCCATCGACCCCCGCGCCCCCTCCTCCCCGCCACCGTCGATCGGGCGCCCCGGGGCCCCGGCGGAACGGCTGGGCGCGGTCGGCGCCGCCGGCGCAGGCCCTCACTTAACGGCGTGGTGCTCGGCGGCGTGAGAGGCGCAGTAGAACTTCTTGTGAGCGATGAAATTGGACAGGCTACTGAACTGGATGTCGCACAGGCGGCAGTACTTGCCGCCGCCGCCGCCGTTGGCCAGCGCCGGCGGCTCGGCCGCCGCCTTGCCCGGCGTGTGGAAGGGGCTGAGCGCCGGCGCCGGCGAGCCGCCCCGCCCGGCCGGGGCGAGGCGTGGGCTGGGCGCGGGCGGTCCGGGCGAGGGCGGCGGCACCGGCGGTCGCGGGCCCCTCCGCCGCGCCGTCCGCGTCGTCTCCCGCGGCCCCCGTCCGCGTCGTTTCCCTGCGGCGTGGGCGACCGCGAGCCGCGGGCCTCGGGCGGTGGCCCCGGCGTGGAGGCCCCGTGGTGCCGGCGCCGGTGCTCCTCCATGCCGTCGCCCGAGCTGCAGGCGTAGGAGCAGTAAGGGCACAGCGCCGGCTTCGTCTCGGCGAGCGGCGCGAGGCCCGGGAAGCGAGCCAGGTCCGTCGGGACCTCCGGGCACAGCAGGCAACCGTGCGCCCCTCCTCCTCCTCCTCCTCCTCCCGGCGCCGCTACCGGCGTTCCCCGCGGTGCGGTTCTGCCGGCCGGCGCGGCGACGACCGAGTTCAGAGCGAACGGTAGGACGGGCACGCCGGGGCCCAACGGGGACGCGCCGTTGCCGGTCAGCAGCGCGGCCGCCAGCGGCGGCGGTGCGCCGGGCAGGGCGGCGGCCGCCGGCTGCCGGGTGGTGGTGGCGGAACAGTAGTAGCGCTTGTGCGCCAGGTAGTTCTCGAGGCGGCTGAACGTGATCTGGCACGACGCGCACTTGTGGTAGTCGCGAGCCGGGCGGGCGTCTCCGGCGAGCGTCGCGGAGTCGCCGGCCGCTCCGCCGGCGCCGCCGTCTTCCTGCTCAGGTCCATGGGGGCGTCGGCGTCCTGCGGCGGAGGCGGCGACGGATACGGGGATCGGCGGGCGACGCCGGCGCTCCCCGCCGTCCTGTGGGCACCGACCCCCGGGGCGGCGGCGGCGGAGGAGGCGGTGGACCGCAGGGGGCTGCAGGACGAGGAGGCGGTGGAGGCTGCCGGCGAGGTGGAGGACGAGCAGGAGGACGAAGTCCGCTCCTCTCGGCGCCGCTTAGCCGCGTCCTCGCCGGGCGGGCTGGCCGCGTCCGCGAGCCTCCTGCCGCCCGGCGCCGCCTCGGGGTGCGCGACGCCGCACACCCGTCGCCTCTTGCGCGTTCGCTGCTGCTGCTGCTGCTGGTTCTGCGAGACGGCCACGACCGTCGCCGCCGCCGCCGCCGGAGCCACGGCGGCCGCGGCCGCGGCGGCGGAGGCGGCCCGGCCGCCGTGGGCCTGCCGCTTGGGCGGGGGGTCGTGCCGCGTGGCGCAGTAGTAGCGCTTGTGCACGGCGTAGTTCTCGCGCCGGCTGAACGTGATGTTGCAGGCGTCGCACGTCGTCCGCGCGGGGTCCTCGGCGGCCGTGTCCGCCCCGGAGGGGGGCGACCCCTCGGGGCCCCTCCCCTCGTCCCCCGACGGCCGCCCCGGCTCCTCCGCCCGCTCCGCCTTGATCGCCTTCGCCGGGGCGGGGGCGACGCCGCCTCCGTCCGCGGCCGCGCAGTCCGCGCCGGCGGGCGCGGACTGCCGGGCGAGCGCCGTCGGGCTGGGGGAGCCGCTCTGGTCGGCGGGGGAGCAGTGCGCCGGCTTGCCGGCTTGCCGGCCTGGCTTGTCCCTCGCCGTGCCGTTACCCACGGGCTGCTGCTGCTGCTGGCGCTGCTGCCTGTAGGCGCAGTAGAGCTGCTTGTGCACCATGAAGTTGTCGAGGCTGCTGAAGCTGATGTTGCACTCGACGCACGTCACGCCCCCGCCGGCCCCGCGGGCCGCGAAGAAGGGGCCGCCAGCAGCGGCGGCAGCGATGGCGCCCGGATGGGTCTGCGCCGGGAAAGCGACGGACGCCTGCCGCTGCAGGCGGTGGTGCGCCAGCTCCGAAATGCGCGCCAGCATCTCCGAGGCCTGCGCGTCCGTGGTCTGTAGGTGCGGCACGAAGAAGTAGTGAGGCGGGAAGACGGAGGCCAGGCCGACGCCGCCGCTCGGCCCCTTCGCCTGCTGCTGCTGCTGCTGCTGCACCGGCGATGCCACCGGCTGCGGACTTAGCGGCTCCAGCTTCACGGTTGGGGCGGCTGACGGGGACGAGCGGGACGGCGCTCGCGCACAATCGTCCTCCGCGTCGCTGCTTTTAGGCGTCGCCCCCGCCTCCCTCTTCACCACGCGGATGGCGCCGGTCGCTGCATCGGCTCCACCGCCGCCCGCTTGACCGTCCCAGCCGCGCCGGTTCCCGTCGTCCGTGAGCCGACTTTCCCCCCGCGCCCTCCTCCTCCTCCCCCTCCTCCTCCTCCTCCTCGTCGCCGCGCCTTCGCTTAAACCCGCGAGCCGCTTCGTCTCCCGCGAACCCGGCACCGTCGTCGTGGCCGGCGCCGTCTCTGTCGCCTCGTCCCCCTCCGCTGGCGCCCGCCGCCCGCCGGTCCACGTCCGGCGTTCCCCGCCGGGCGTCGCCGCCGCCGCCGCCGCCGCCGCCGCCGTGCACCGTCCCACGGTCTGGCGCCACGCGGCCGGGGGTCGCGAGGGGGAGGCCGGCCCCGGGGTCGCCGGCCCCCGCGTGGGGGTCAGGCCGGGCCGGATCGGCCGCGGCCGGCGGCGTGGCCGGAGGGCGCGGTTGAGGCCGGAAGCCGGCGCTCGGCGACGCGGGACGAGGGGAGGGGCCCTCGATCTTCCGCTCGGCTTCCGCCGCCCCTGCGGGGAAAACAACGCGGCGGGGGGCGGGGGGCGGGGTGGAGGTTCAGTACCGGCGCTCGCACTCCTGCCCGCTGAGGGGGCGTGAACATCGCCTCACTCTCGACCGCCGCGCTCCATTATTGCTGCCGAGCGCCGTGTCCTCCAGAGAGGAAGATGCACACCCACGTGCCCGGTGTCAGTTCTACACGTCTTAGACTCCGGAGAACACGGTGGAGACGTCACTAATGAACCCCCGGCCGTTATTCATTTACTCGGTTGGGAAATCCACAACATCGGGCCACGCCGGCGGAATCTACCCGTCCGTAGGCCTGTGCCAATGTACCCCACCTAAAGCCGCGCGGGGATGGCTGCCGCTTGGGGTCCCCCAGGCCAGACCGCAGCAGGGCAAGCGGTTGGGGTGGGATGCGAGATACGGCGCTTTGAGAACCGGGGCCGCTTGAGCCAGCGGCCTCCCGCGTGGCGAAATTCCCCACCCCTGCCCGATGACACGACGCGCTTCGCAAAGCACACGCTCGCCGGCCTATGGACACGACAACCGCAACCGACTGCCGTGGAAAACAAACACAAATAGACACGACGCCACGAGAAAAACAGTCCCGTTTCCTCGCTCGGCCCGCGCCTGCCCTGGTTTACGGCGAACCAAATTTCCCGCTGGGGACATCGTGGCGGGGACGGGAGAAAGCCACGCAGGCGTGCGGGAGAGAGCGGAGAGGTGGGATTCCGCAAACGTGTGGGAAGAGTGTAGCGGGGGAGGACCGGGAAAATAAATTCGGAGGCCGGCGAGAGTACGTGGCGGGCGAGCATGCCGTAGATGTGATTGGGCTGGGCGGGGGGAGGAGGGACGAACTCTATGTGCGAGTCTGTGGGTCTCTATGTGCGAGTCTATGGGTCTCTATGTGCGAGTCTATGGGTGTCTATGTGCGAGTCTATGGGTCTCTATGTGCGAGTCTATTGGTCTCTATGTGCGAGTCTATGGGTCTCTATGTGCGAGTCTATGGGTCTCTATGTGCGAGTCTATTGGTCTCTATGTTGGAGTCTATGGGTCTCTATGTGCGAGTCTATGGGCCTCTATGTGCGAGTCTATTGGTCTCTATGTGCGAGTCTATGGGTCTCTATGTGCGAGTCTATGGGTCTCTATGTGCGAGTCTATGGGTCTCTATGTGCGAGTCTATGGGGCTCTATGTGCGAGTCTATGGGCCTCTATGTGCGAGTCTATTGGTCTCTATGTTGGAGTCTATGGGTCTCTATGTGCAAGTCTATGGGTCTCTATGTGCGAGTCTATGGGTCTCTATGGGCGAGGCTATGGGTCTCTATGTGCGAATATATGGGTCTCTATGTGTGAGTCTATGGGTCTCTATGTGCGAGTCTATGGGTCTCTATGTGCGAGTCTATGGGTCTCTATGTGCGAGTCTATGGGTCTCTATGTGCGAATCTATGGGTCTCTATGTGTGAGTCTATTGGTCTCTATGTGCGAATCTATGGGTCTCTATGTGTGAGTCTATGGGTGTCTATGTGCGAGTCTATGGGCCTCTATGTGCGAATCTATTGGTCTCTATGTGCGAGTCTATGGGTCTCTATGTGCGAGTCTATGGGTCTCTATGGGCGAGTCTATGGGTCTCTATGTGCGAATCTATGGGTCTCTATGTGTGAGTCTATGGGTCTCTATGTGCGAGTCTATGGGTCTCTATGTGCGAGTCTATGGGTCTCTATGTGCGATTCTATGGGTCTCTATGTGCGAATCTATGGGTCTCTATGTGTGAGTCTATTGGTCTCTATGTGCGAGTCTATCGGTCTCTATGTGTGAGTCTATGGGTCTCTATGTGCGAATCTATGGGTCTCTATGTGCGAGTCTATGGGTGTCTATGTGCGAGTCTATGGGCCTCTATGTGCGAATCTATGGGTCTCTATGTGCGAATCTATGGGTCGCTATGTGCGAGTCTATGGGTCTCTATGTGCGAGTCTACGGGTCTCTATGTGCGAGTCTATGGGTCTCTATGTGCGAGTCTATGGGTGTCTATGTGCGAGTCTATGGGTATCTATGGGCGAGTCTATGGGTCTCTATGTGCGAGTCTATGGGTCTCTATGTGCGAGTCTATGGGTCTCTATGTGCGAGTCTATGGGTCTCTATGGGCGAGTCTATGGGTCTCTATGTGCGAATCTATGGGTCTTTATGTGCGAGTCTATGGGTCTCTATGTGCGAGTCTATGGGTCTCTATGTGCCAGTCTATGGGTCTCTATGTGCGAGTCTATGGGTCTCTATGTGCGAATCTATGGGTCTCTATGTGTGAGTCTATTGGTCTCTATGTGCGAGTCTATTGGTCTCTATGTGCGAGTCTATGGGTCTCTATGTGCGAATCTATTGGTCTCTATGTGCGAGTTTATGGGTCTCTATGTGCGAGTCTATGGGTCTCTATGTGCGAGTCTATGGGTCTCTATGTGCGAGTCTATGGGTCTCTATGTGCGAGTCTATGGGTCTCTATGTGCGAGTCTATTGGTCTCTATGTTGGAGTCTATGGGTCTCTATGTGCGAGTCTATGGGCCTCTATGTGCGAGTCTATTGGTCTCTATGTGCGAGTCTATGGGTCTCTATGTGCGAGTCTATGGGTCTCTATGTGCGAGTCTATGGGTCTCTATGTGCGAGTCTATGGGTCTCTATGTGCGAGTCTATGGGCCTCTATGTGCGAGTCTATTGGTCTCTATGTTGGAGTCTATGGGTCTCTATGTGCGAGTCTATGGGTCTCTATGTGCGAGTCTATGGGTCTCTATGGGCGAGGCTATGGGTCTCTATGTGCGAATCTATGGGTCTCTATGTGTGAGTCTATGGGTCTCTATGTGCGAGTCTATGGGTCTCTATGTGCGAGTCTATGGGTCTCTATGTGCGAGTCTATGGGTCTCTATGTGCGAATCTATGGGTCTCTATGTGTGAGTCTATTGGTCTCTATGTGCGAATCTATGGGTCTCTATGTGTGAGTCTATGGGTGTCTATGTGCGAGTCTATGGGCCTCTATGTGCGAATCTATTGGTCTCTATGTGCGAGTCTATGGGTCTCTATGTGCGAGTCTATGGGTCTCTATGGGCGAGTCTATGGGTCTCTATGTGCGAATCTATGGGTCTCTATGTGTGAGTCTATGGGTCTCTATGTGCGAGTCTATGGGTCTCTATGTGCGAGTCTATGGGTCTCTATGTGCGATTCTATGGGTCTCTATGTGCGAATCTATGGGTCTCTATGTGTGAGTCTATTGGTCTCTATGTGCGAGTCTATCGGTCTCTATGTGTGAGTCTATGGGTCTCTATGTGCGAATCTATGGGTCTCTATGTGCGAGTCTATGGGTGTCTATGTGCGAGTCTATGGGCCTCTATGTGCGAATCTATGGGTCTCTATGTGCGAATCTATGGGTCGCTATGTGCGAGTCTATGGGTCTCTATGTGCGAGTCTACGGGTCTCTATGTGCGAGTCTATGGGTCTCTATGTGCGAGTCTATGGGTGTCTATGTGCGAGTCTATGGGTATCTATGGGCGAGTCTATGGGTCTCTATGTGCGAGTCTATGGGTCTCTATGTGCGAGTCTATGGGTCTCTATGTGCGAGTCTATGGGTCTCTATGGGCGAGTCTATGGGTCTCTATGTGCGAATCTATGGGTCTTTATGTGCGAGTCTATGGGTCTCTATGTGCGAGTCTATGGGTCTCTATGTGCCAGTCTATGGGTCTCTATGTGCGAGTCTATGGGTCTCTATGTGCGAATCTATGGGTCTCTATGTGTGAGTCTATTGGTCTCTATGTGCGAGTCTATTGGTCTCTATGTGCGAGTCTATGGGTCTCTATGTGCGAATCTATTGGTCTCTATGTGCGAGTTTATGGGTCTCTATGTGCGAGTCTATGGGTCTCTATGTGCGAGTCTATGGGTCTCTATGTGCGAGTCTATGGGTCTCTATGTGCGAGTCTATGGGTCTCTATGTGCGAGTCTATGGGTCTCTATGGGCGAGTCTATGGGTCTCTATGTGCGAATCTATGGGTCTTTATGTGCGAGTCTATGGGTCTCTATGTGCGAGTCTATGGGTCTCTATGTGCCAGTCTATGGGTCTCTATGTGCGAGTCTATGGGTCTCTATGTGCGAATCTATGGGTCTCTATGTGTGAGTCTATTGGTCTCTATGTGCGAGTCTATTGGTCTCTATGTGCGAGTCTATGGGTCTCTATGTGCGAATCTATTGGTCTCTATGTGCGAGTTTATGGGTCTCTATGTGCGAGTCTATGGGTCTCTATGTGCGAGTCTATGGGTCTCTATGTGCGAGTCTATGGGTCTCTATGTGCGAGTCTATGGGTCTCTATGTGCGGATCCACGCTGCTCACCTGCGCCGGGGTCGGAGTCCCTGTGTTGGCCGGGGCCCACGGAGGGCGGCGTCCCAGGGGGGCAGCTCGCGGTGGCCGGGGTGACCCGGGCGGGGGCGGCCGGGGACGTGGCGGTAGGCGGGGTCGCGGGCGGGGTCGCGAGCGGGGTCGCGGGCGGGGTCACGGGCGGCGTCACGGGCGGGGTCACGGGCGGGGTCACGGGCGGGGTCGCGGCCGGCGGCGAGCGGCCGGGAGAGCAGAGGGGGCTGCGCGCGGGGGAAGGCGTGTGTGTCCCCGTGTGTGTCCCCGTGTGTGTCCCCGTGTGTGTCCCCGTGTGTGTCCCCGTGTGTGTCCCCGTGTGTGTCCCCGTGTGTGTCCCCGTGTGTGTCCCCGTGTGTGTCCCCGTGTGTGTCCCCGTGTGTGTCCCCGTGTGTGTCCCCGTGTGTGTCCCCGTGTGCGTCCCCGCGTGCGAAGCTGCTGGCAAGCGAGCGGGGGACGGCTCCGCCTTGCGCGTGGTGGCAGGCACAGACGCGTGCGTGGGCGAGCGGCTGGGCGCGTGCGTGGGCATGTGCACGGGCGTGTGAGCGGGCGTGTGCACGGGCGTGTGAGCGGGCGTGTGCACGGGCGTGTGCACAGGCGTGTGCACGGGCGTGTGCACAGGCGTGTGCGTGGGCGTGTGAGCGGGCGCGTGCGTGGGCGTGTGAGCGGGCGCGTGCGTGGGCGTGTGCACGGGCGTGTGCACGGGCGTGCTCGTTTGAGCGGGCGCGCCCGCGTGGGTTCCCCCGTGCGTGGGCGACGTGGGGGGACTGCCCCCGTCGGAGGCCGCTCTGCCTCCTCCCGTCTTGTTGCGCCCGGCGCAGTAGTAGGTGAGGTGCGCCTGCAGGTTGCGCTCGTTGCGGTACCAGATCCCGCAGAACTTGCACGGGAAGAGGTCTTCTGCACAGCCACAAACCACACACCGCAGTGTCACCACCACCACCACCACCACGAACCCAGCCAATCGCACATCAGCCCTGCACTCCCAGTTTTTGCTGTTCCGCTTGTTTACCCAGAAAAGCCTCGCTGAGTCTCATGATTATTTTTCAGGAGGGTTATGGCCAGCGTTTATGTTGCATATTCCAAATGAGTGATGTGCGGTGCCATTTTTGCTAATTTGAACCATCGCACACGATGGCCCAATTTGGTTGAACGACCTCACGGAAATCTCAAATGCCCTCTTGCGAAGCAGATGGCGTGCAGGGTACTTGTGTTTTAGAGCGAACCGATGTCGTGGCGGAGACGCGAGAAGCCACGCAGGCGTGCGGGAGAGAGCGGAGAGGTGGGATTCCGCAAACGCGTGGGACGAGTGTAGCGGGGAGCACCGGGGTAAAGCAACTCGGAGGTCCGCGAGAGAACGTGGCGGGTGAGCGTGCCGTAGAGGCGATTGGACAGGGCGGGGGGAGGAGTGGCGATCTCCGAGATGGGCTTCAGAGTGGTCTCCACGAGTCTGACGGCCAAGTGGAATAGCGGATGGCGAGAGACTCCGTTCTCCGCCGTGCAGAAGGACTGCTGCCCGAAACGTTGGCCAATTACTCGCTACGCTGGATTGTCATGAGGCAGCGAGAGTGCCGACTGCGGTGGATTTGTTGACGCCGCTGCTTTGCGGGTGGCCCCATCCCGTGACCTCTCGTATCCACTCACTCGGAGGCGACGTGGGAAGGTTCACAGAACGGGGTGAAGAGGCAAAAGTGAATCCTATTGGGAGTTGATTCACAGCCATTTGCTGACCAGGCTGAGACCATCAGCTCTCTACGTGGTGTCATGACGGGTAGCCGAAATCCGGATTCACACCCAGGCAATCGGCGGTGCTGGCTCGGCGTTTCCGACACAGCCACTATGAATCCCACATTTCTACTTAAAAATAGGTGCTAGACACGGGGGTGGGTGGATGAGCGAAGGAGTGGGTGAGCGAGTGGGTAGGTTAGTGAGTGGGTAGGTAGTGAGTGGGTGAGTGAGTGAGTGGGTGAGTTAGTGGGTGAGCGAGTGGGTAGGTTAGTGAGTGGGTAGGTTAGTGAGTGGGTGAGTGAGTGGGTGAGTTAGTGGGTGAGCGAGTGGATAGGTTTGTGAGTGGGTAGGTTAGTGAGTGGGTGAGTGAGTGAGTGTGTGAGTTAGTGGGTGAGCGAGTGGGTAGGTTAGTGAGTGGGTAGGTTAGTGAGTGGGTGAGTGAGTTAGTGGGTGGGTGAGCTAGTGGGTGGGCGAGTGATTGGGTTAATAGTTGAGTGAGTGAGTGGCCGAGCGAGTGGGTGGGTAAGCGAATGCGTGGTGCGGGGCGCGTACTGTTGATGATGGCGGTGGGCATCAGCGATGCCAGGCAGGCCTGCTGGGGCAGCAGCACCACCGTGTGTGGCGCGCGCAGCTCAGGGTACGACGCCGGTGCCGCCACCGCCGCTGCCTCCACGGGCGGCCTCACCGTGGGCCCCCCGTCCCGCGCGCCGTTGCCGGTCGGACCCCCACGGGCCCCGCCGAACCGGTAGCTCACGAGCTCCTCTCCGCCGGCTACGGCTCGCGTCAGCGAGCACCACAACTGCCCTCCTGTGCGGGCACACGCGGGTAACGCTAGGTTACACGCGGTAAAGTACACGAGGGTACACGCTCAACTCATGACGAGCAGCAGTAATGTGAATTCACACAGAGGAGAAATGGGACCTCATCACATGATGCTTCACAAAGAGCCACATTCGGGTCGGGGTGAGGGGGAGGGGTCGGGGTGAGGGGTCGGGGTGAGGGGTCCGGGGTGAGGGGTCCGGGATGAGGGGTCCGGGGTGAGGGGTCCGGGGTGAGGGGTCGGGGTGAGGGGTCCGGGGTGAGGGGTCCGGGATGAGGGGTCCGGGGTGAGGGGTCCGGGGTGAGGGGTCCGGGGTGAGGGGTCCGGGGTGAGGGTTCGGGGTGAGGGGTCGGGGTGAGGGGTCGGGGTGAGGGGTCGGGGTGAGGGGTCTGGGTGAGGGTTCGGGGTGAGGGGTCGGGGTGATGGGTCGGGGTGAGGGGTCGGGGTGAGGGGTCGGGGTGAGGGGTCGGGGTGAGGGGTCGGGGTGAGGGGTCGGGGTGAGGGGTCCGGGGTGAGGGGTCCGGGATGAGGGGTCCGGGGTGAGGGGTCCGGGGTGAGGGGTCCGGGGTGAGGGGTCCGGGGTGAGGGTTCGGGGTGAGGGGTCGGGGTGAGGGGTCGGGGTGAGGGGTCGGGGTGAGGGGTCTGGGTGAGGGTTCGGGGTGAGGGGTCGGGGTGATGGGTCGGGGTGAGGGGTCGGGGTGAGGGGTCGGGGTGAGGGGTCGGGGTGAGGGGTCGGGGTGAGGGTTCGGGGTGAGGCGTCGGGGTGAGGCGTCGGGGTGAGAGGTGGGGGTGATGGGTCGGGGTGAGGGGTCGGGGTGATGGGTCGGGGTGAAGGTTCGGGGTGAGGGGTCGGGGTGAGGTGTCGGGGTGAGGGGTCGGGGTGAGGGGTCGGGGTGAGGGGTCGGGGTGATGGGTCGGGGTGAGGGGTCGGGGTGAGGGGTCGGGGTGAGGGGTCGGGGTGATGGGTCGGGGTGAGGGGTCGGGGTGAGGGGTCGGGGTGAGGGGTTGGAAGAAGGGGTCATGGCACGTGGGCTGTTTTGGAAGTGGACTCTAATGCCCCGAGGCGTCGCTTGTATGGCCCAGGTGTCCGCTGACAAAGAGGCCCTTCGCTCACCTCGTTTAAATAACGACCGCTCACAACCGATCACCTGTGACGACCGTGACGCCGACTCACGGCGTCGCGACACAGATTCACCGCCCCCCTCCCCCCCCTCCCAAGAGAGACGCCATGGCACGGCCAGCGATCGTGACAATTAACCGCGGCCCCCGGCTCTTCGTTACGGAGGGGACCACGGTTTGGGGGGGGGGGGGGGGCGAGCTGTTGACTCGGGCCGAGCATTATCAGCGAGCGGAGCGTTTAACCCCTGGCCTCGTCCCTCTGCGCGCTGGGATACGTGATCCACTTATCAGCATCTCCCGCTGCTGGCTCATCGCAACGGCATCCACTCGCTCTCTCCTCCCACTCACACAAACCAAAGAGATTTGTCTCCAGCCCTACAGCAGGTCCCCGCTCCTCTCCCTCCCTACTCTCCCTCCCTGCCTCCTCCATCTCCTACACCATGCTCCCTCCCCCTCCCTCCCCTCCCTCCACTGCTCCCCGTCGAGCTCCTCTCCCATCTCTACCCTGGGAGAATAATTCTCAGTACAAATTCACCAGCGGGGGCGTGAGAGTCAAGGGAGGGTGAGGGTTGGGTAGGGTGTGGGTCACGGGGGGGGGGGTGCCGTTAACACTTGGTCACGTGCACGAGTCGCCCCCCCTTCCCCCTCCTACAGCCTGGGGCCTTCGCAGATTAAACGCCGGCGAGGCCACCCAGGCTGGCGTCTCCTTGCGCCCCGCCACTCGCCGCTGCCTCTCCCTCAGGGCAAGGGTCAGAGGTTAGGGTATGGATGAGAGTTTGGGTTAAGATTTCGTTTAGGATTAGGGGTAGAGTTAGGGTTACTGGTGAGAGTCAGAGTTAGGGAAAAGGTTAGAGATCAGAGTAAGGGTTAGACATTAGGTTTCGGTTCGAGGTTAGGATTTGGGTTTGAGGCTAGGGTTTGGGTTTGAGGCTAGGGTTTGGGTTTGAGGCTAGCGTTTGGGTTCGAGGTTAGGGTTTGGGTTCGAGGCTAGGGTTTGGGTTTGAGGCTAGGGTTTGGGTTTGAGGCTAGGGTTTGGGTTTGGGTTCGAGGCTAGGGTTTGGGTTTGAGGCTAGGGTTTGGGGTTGAGGCTAGGGTTTGGGTTTGAGGCTAGGGTTTGGGTTTGAGGCTAGGGTTTGGGTTCGAGGCTAGGGTTTGGGTTTAAGGCTAGGGTTTGGGTTCGAGGTTAGGGTTTGGGTTTGAGGCTAGGGTTTGGGTTCGAGGCTAGGGTTTGGGTTCGAGGCTAGGGTTTGGGTTCGAGGTTAGGGTTTGGGTTTGAGGCTAGGGTTTGGGTTCGAGGTTAGGGTTTGGGTTTGAAGTTAGGGTTTGAGGTTAGGGTTTGAGGTTGGGGTTTGAGGTTAGGGTTTGAGGTTAGGGTTTGGGTTTGAGGTTGGGGTTTGAGGTTGGGGTTTGAGGTTGGTGTTTGGATTTGAGGGTAGGGTTTGGGTTTGAGGTTAGGGTTTGAGGTTTGGGTTTGAGGTTAGGGTTTGGGTTTGAGGTTGGGGTTTGGGTTTGAGAGTAGGGTTTGGGTTTGAGGCTAGGGTTTGGGTTTGAGGTTAGGGTTTGGGTTTGAGGTTAGGGTTTGAGGCTAGGGTTTGGGTTCGAGGCTAGGATTTGAGTTCGAGGCTAGGGTTTGGGTTCGAGGTTAGGGTTTAGGTTCGAGGCAAGGGTTTGGGTTCGAGGTTAGGGTTTTGGGTTCGAGGTTAGGGTTTGGGTTTGAGGCTAGGGCTTGGGTTTGAGGCTAGGGTTTGGGTTTGAGGTTAGGGTTTGGGTTTGAGGCTAGGGTTTTGGTTTGAGGCTAGGGAAAGGGTTTGAGGCTAGGGTTTGGGTTTGAGGCTAGGGTTGGGTTTGAGGCCAGGGTTTGGGTTTGAGGCCAGGGTTTGGGTTCAAGGCTAGGGTTTAGGTTTGAGGCTAATGTTTGGGTTTGTTTGGGTTTGAGGTTAGGTTTTGGGTTTGAGGCCTGGGTTTGGGTTTGAGGCTCGGGTTTGGGTTTGAGGCTCGGGTTTGGGTTCGAGGTTAGGGTTTGGGTTTGAGGTTAGGGTTTGAGGTTTGGGTTCGAGGTTAGGGTTTGGGTTAGGGTTTGGGTTTGAGGTTAGGGTTTGAGGTTTGGGTTTGAGGTTGGGGTTTGGGCTTGAGGGTAGGGTTTGGGTTTGAGGCTAGGGTTTGAGGCTAGGGTTTGGGTTTGAGGCTAGGGTTTGGGTTTGAGGCTAGGGTTTGGGTTTGAGGCTAGGGTTTGGGTTTGAGGTTAGGGTTTGGGTTTGAAGTTAGGGATTGAGGTTAGGGTTTGAGGTTGGGGTTTGAGGTTAGGGTTTGAGGTTAGGGTTTGGGTTTGAGGTTGGGGTTTGAGGTTGGGGTTTGGGTTTGAGGGTAGGGTTTGGGTTTGAGGGTAGGGTTTGGGTTTGAGGCTAGGGTTTGGGTTTGAGGCTAGGGTTTGGGTTTGAGGCTAGGGTTTGGGTTTGAGGCTAGGGTTTGGGTTTGAGGCTAGGGTTTGGGTTCGAGGCTAGGGTTTGGGATTAAGGCTAGAGTTTGGGTTTGAGGTTAGGGTTTGGGTTTGAGGCTAGGGTTTGGGTTCGAGGCTAGGGTTTGGGTTCGAGGCTAGGGTTTGGGTTCGAGGTTAGGGTTTGGGTTTGAGGCTAGGGTTTGGGTTCGAGGTTAGGGTTTGGGTTTGAAGTTAGGGTTTGAGGTTGGGGTTTGAGGTTAGGGTTTGAGGTTAGGGTTTGGGTTTGAGGTTGGGGTTTGAGGTTGGGGTTTGGATTTGAGGGTAGGGTTTGGGTTTGAGGTTAGGGTTTGAGGTTTGGGTTTGAGGTTAGGGTTTGAGGTTGGGGTTTGGGTTTGAGGTTGGGGTTTGGGTTTGAGGGTAGGGTTTGGGTTTGAGGCTAGGGTTTGGGTTTGAGGCCAGGGTTTGGGTTCAAGGCTAGGGTTTAGGTTTGAGGCTAATGTTTGGGTTTGTTTGGGTTTGAGGTTAGGTTTTGGGTTTGAGGCCTGGGTTTGGGTTTGAGGCTCGGGTTTGGGTTTAAGGCTCGGGTTTGGGTTCGAGGTTAGGGTTTGGGTTTGAGGTTAGGGTTTGAGGTTTGGGTTCGAGGTTAGGGTTTGGGTTAGGGTTTGGGTTTGAGGTTAGGGTTTGAGGTTTGGGTTTGAGGTTGGGGTTTGGGTTTGAGGTTGGGGTTTGGGCTTGAGGGTAGGGTTTGGGTTTGAGGCTAGGGTTTGGGTTTGAGGCTAGGGTTTGGGTTTGAGGCTAGGGTTTGGGTTTGAGGCTAGGGTTTGGGTTTGAGGCTAGGGTTTGGGTTTGAGGTTAGGGTTTGAAGTTAGGGTTTGAGGTTAGGGTTTGAGGTTGGGGTTTGAGGTTAGGGTTTGAGGTTAGGGTTTGGGTTTGAGGTTGGGGTTTGAGGTTGGGGTTTGGGTTTGAGGGTAGGGTTTGGGTTTGAGGGTAGGGTTTGGGTTTGAGGCTAGGGTTTGGGTTTGAGGCTAGGGTTTGGGTTTGAGGCTAGGGTTTGGGTTTGAGGCTAGGGTTTGGGTTCGAGGCTAGGGTTTGGGTTCGAGGCTAGGGTTTGGGTTTAAGGCTAGGGTTTGGGTTTGAGGTTAGGGTTTGGGTTTGAGGCTAGGGTTTGGGTTCGAGGCTAGGGTTTGGGTTCGAGGCTAGGGTTTGGGTTCGAGGTTAGGGTTTGGGTTTGAGGCTAGGGTTTGGGTTCGAGGTTAGGGTTTGGGTTTGAAGTTAGGGTTTGAGGTTAGGGTTTGAGGTTGGGGTTTGAGGTTAGGGTTTGAGGTTAGGGTTTGGGTTTGAGGTTGGGGTTTGAGGTTGGGGTTTGGATTTGAGGGTAGGGTTTGGGTTTGAAGTTAGGGTTTGAGGTTTGGGTTTGAGGTTAGGGTTTGAGGTTGGGGTTTGGGTTTGAGGTTGGGGTTTGGGTTTGAGGGTAGGGTTTGGGTTTGAGGCTAGGGTTTGGGTTTAAGGTTAGGGTTTGGGTTCGAGGCTAGGATTTGAGTTCGAGGCTAGGGTTTGGGTTCGAGGTTAGGGTTTAGGTTCGAGGCAAGGGTTTGGGTTCGAGGTTAGGGTTTTGGGTTCGAGGTTAGGGTTTGGGTTTGAGGCTAGGGTTTGGGTTTGAGGCTAGGGTTTGGGTTTGAGGCTAGGGTTTGGGTTGGAGGCTAGGGTTTTGGTTTGAGGCTAGGGAAAGGGTTTGAGGCTAGGGTTTGGGTTTGAGGCTAGGGTTGGGTTTGAGGCCAGGGTTTGGGTTTGAGGCCAGGGTTTGGGTTCAAGGCTAGGGTTTAGGTTTGAGGCTAATGTTTGGGTTTGTTTGGGTTTGAGGTTAGGTTTTGGGTTTGAGGCTCGGGTTTGGGTTCGAGGCTAGGGTTTGGGTTCGAGGTTAGGGTTTGGGTTTGAGGCTAGGGTTTGGGTTCGAGGTTAGGGTTTGGGTTTGAAGTTAGGGTTTGAGGTTGGGGTTTGAGGTTAGAGTTTGAGGTTAGGGTTTGGGTTCGAGGTTAGGGTTTGGGTTTGAGGCTAGGGTTTGGGTTCGAGGTTAGGGTTTGGGTTTGAAGTTAGGGTTTGAGGTTGGGGTTTGAGGTTAGGGTTTGAGGTTAGGGTTTGGGTTTGAGGTTGGGGTTTGAGGTTGGGGTTTGGATTTGAGGGTAGGGTTTGGGTTTGAGGTTAGGGTTTGAGGTTTGGGTTTGAGGTTAGGGTTTGAGGTTGGGGTTTGGGTTTGAGGTTGGGGTTTGGGTTTGAGGGTAGGGTTTGGGTTTGAGGCTAGGGTTTGGGTTTGAGGCCAGGGTTTGGGTTCAAGGCTAGGGTTTAGGTTTGAGGCTAATGTTTGGGTTTGTTTGGGTTTGAGGTTAGGTTTTGGGTTTGAGGCCTGGGTTTGGGTTTGAGGCTCGGGTTTGGGTTTGAGGCTCGGGTTTGGGTTCGAGGTTAGGGTTTGGGTTTGAGGTTAGGGTTTGAGGTTTGGTTCGAGGTTAGGGTTTGGGTTAGGGTTAGGGTTTGGGTTTGAGGTTAGGGTTTGAGGTTTGGGTTTGAGGTTGGGGTTTGGGTTTGAGGTTGGGGTTTGGGCTTGAGGGTAGGGTTTGGGTTTGAGGCTAGGGTTTGGGTTTGAGGCTAGGGTTTGGGTTTGAGGCTAGGGTTTGGGTTTGAGGCTAGGGTTTGGGTTTGAGGTTAGGGTTTGAAGTTAGGGTTTGAGGTTAGGGTTTGAGGTTGGGGTTTTGAGGTTAGGGTTTGAGGTTAGGGTTTGGGTTTGAGGTTGGGGTTTGAGGTTGGGGTTTGGGTTTGAGGGTAGGGTTTGGGTTTGAGGGTAGGGTTTGGGTTTGAGGCTAGGGTTTGGGTTTGAGGCTAGGGTTTGGGTTTGAGGCTAGGGTTTGGGTTTGAGGCTAGGGTTTGGGTTCGAGGCTAGGGTTTGGGTTTAAGGCTAGGGTTTGGGTTTGAGGTTAGGGTTTGGGTTTGAGGCTAGGGTTTGGGTTCGAGGCTACGGTTTGGGTTCGAGGCTAGGGTTTGGGTTCGAGGTTAGGGTTTGGGTTTGAGGCTAGGGTTTGGGTTCGAGGTTAGGGTTTGGGTTTGAAGTTAGGGTTTGAGGTTAGGGTTTGAGGTTGGGGTTTGAGGTTAGGGTTTGCGGTTAGGGTTTGGGTTTGAGGTTGGGGTTTGAGGTTGGGGTTTGGATTTGAGGGTAGGGTTTGGGTTTGAGGTTAGGGTTTGAGGTTTGGGTTTGAGGTTAGGGTTTGAGGTTGGGGTTTGGGTTTGAGGTTGGGGTTTGGGTTTGAGGGTAGGGTTTGGGTTTGAGGCTAGGGTTTGGGTTTGAGGTTAGGGTTTGGGTTCGAGGCTAGGATTTGAGTTCGAGGCTAGGGTTTGGGTTCGAGGTTAGGGTTTAGGTTCGAGGCAAGGGTTTGGGTTCGAGGTTAGGGTTTTGGGTTCGAGGTTAGGGTTTGGGTTTGAGGCTAGGGCTTGGGTTTGAGGCTAGGGTTTGGGTTTGAGGCTAGGGTTTGGGTTGGAGGCTAGGGTTTTGGTTTGAGGCTAGGGAAAGGGTTTGAGGCTAGGGTTTGGGTTTGAGGCTAGGGTTGGGTTTGAGGCCAGGGTTTGGGTTTGAGGCCAGGGTTTGGGTTCAAGGCTAGGGTTTAGGTTTGAGGCTAATGTTTGGGTTTGTTTGGGTTTGAGGTTAGGTTTTGGGTTTGAGGCTCGGGTTTGAGGCTCGGGTTTGGGTTCGAGGTTAGGGTTTGGGTTTGAGGTTAGGGTTTGAGGTTTGGGTTCGAGGTTAGGGTTTGGGTTAGGGTTTGGGTTAGGGTTAGGGTTTGGGTTTGAGGTTAGGGTTTGAGGTTTGGGTTTGAGGTTGGGGTTTGGGTTTGAGGTTGGGGTTTGGGTTTGAGGGTAGGGTTTGGGTTTGAGGCTAGGGTTTGGGTTTGAGGCTAGGGTTTGGGTTTGAGGCTAGGGTTTGGGTTTGAGGCTAGGGTTTGGGTTTGAGGCTAGGGTTTGGGTTTGAGGTTAGGGTTTGGGTTTGAAGTTAGGGTTTGAGGTTAGGGTTTGAGGTTTGGGTTTGAGGTTGGGGTTTGGGTTTGAGGTTGGGGTTTGGGTTTGAGGGTAGGGTTTGGGTTTGAGGCTAGGGTTTGGGTTTGAGGGTAGGGTTTGGGTTTGAGGCTAGGGTTTGGGTATGAGGTTATGGTTTGAGTTTGAGGTTAGGGTTTGGGTTCAAGGCTAGGGTTTGGAGTTTCAGGCAAGGGTTTGGGTTAGGGAGCTGCTGTGGGCGTGTTGTGGAGGGTGGAGCGCGCGTTGGTCCGCGCTGCTCACTCGCTCGCTGGCTATCGCTCGCGACAGCCGTCCAAAGAAAACGAACAACGCTTGGAGAGAAAACAGTGAAAAAATCCTCATAACGACTCCGGTTTACAACTCGGAGCGCTCCCTCTTACAAGAGCAGCTTAGGCTTATCCGCGTCAAATCAAGGAAACAGGAGTGAACCTCTTAGTCCGGAAAGCGCTGAATTCAGCGCACAATTCCAGTCACTCTCTGTGTTTGTTTTGGAACGGACGCAGCAGCAGAAACTTCAGACTCAAGCTCCGCTTATCGCCGCTGGGAAACGTGCCCTGCCGCCGCAGCGGCTTAGGTATCGCAAGCCGGAGCGCGGTGTGCTGCGGGCACAATAACACCGCACCACGCAGTGCCACACCACGCCACACCGCTCGGACGAAGCGGGTAAAGGTGCAGCCCTGCAATTCCCTGCTCACGTCACCGCTAGCGGAGCGGCCTGCACTACAAGGAGCTCTAGGGGGCCCCTCTAGAGAGTAGTGTTTCGCCTACTCTTTTCATTCTCCGCCATGGGAACGTGGAATTTCCACCACTGGCTCAGGGCTATGAACAAAAATTGAGCACCGAGCTCATTTGAGCAGCAGCAGCATCACTTTGATTCTCACTTCCACGCTTGCCAGACTGCCTTGGAAGAGGTGGGAGGACCCACACTTTACGCGACCGCACGCGGCTTGCTGGTCGCCTATCTGTGGTGTGACCCATTTACACCGCTGGGGGGATGCAGCCTGCCCCATTGCTGCAACTGCCGCGCCGCGAGATAAAAATCTGGACTGCAAGTCCAGCGCGCTCCTCACCCGTGGCGGCGTGCAATTGGCGAGTTAAAAATGCCGATGAGATGCTGAATGTCGAAAACCGTTGCCTGGGTTGCACCAAGACTACCGAAACTGCACACTCACAGAAGGCAGCCGGTGGCTGATGGGCTGTGTACAGAAACACTTTTATTGTTCTAGGTATGGAGGATCAGATATTCTTTACGATTTACTTCTATTTTTATTTTGCCAGATAAGGTCCCACTGAGCAATCTTGGCTCTTTTTCAGAAGCAATCTGGCCCCAAACGACAGCTCAACGAAGTGGCTTCTCATCATCACGTTGAAATGTATGGCAATCAACGCATGTTGATTCTACATGTGGAGGACCTAGAGATAAATCCACGCAACCACGGGAAGAGAGAACATGCGAGGTAGATAACATCTCGCCACCGTGGCAGCCCACGCATGCGAAGGAGGAGAATCGCCCGCTCAGTTATTTTGTTCTAACGAATGCGGGACCTGGCAGGTGGAAGGAGGCGATGACGGCACTGGCCACGATGACCTCTTGACCCCGACACAGGGTGCGTTGTACGTTTTCCCGTCATGCCCCCCCCAGTGATTAAAAAAGTGTACATTAGACTTCACCCCCTCGGGTCGTGAAAAACGTTGATAATGTCTCAACGATTCCAGCCCCAGAGATCCACGATCGCTGCTGCTGCTGCGTTATCAGGGCCCGGCCCTCGCACTAGCGCAGCAGACAGCTCTCAAAACAAACACCCTCCTCTCCCTTCCTCCCTTCCTCCCTTCCTCCAGCCCTCCCTCACTATGACAGACACGGAAAACAAGAGTCCTTTGAAAGTGAGAAAGGAAGGGGATTGGGGGAGGGGGCAGAGAAGGGTGGGTGGGGCGAGGGGAGGGGAGGGGGTGCTCCATGGTGGGAGGAGGGGGCAGCCGGGTCACGTGACGCGCGGGACCGACCTTTCCCGAAGACGACGCAGTTGCTCCGCTCCTCCGCGTCCGTGACCTCGAGCGCGCGGAGCCAGCAGTCGCCCGGCAGCGGCAGGGGCGCCAGCGCCGCCCGCTGCACACCGCACGCGAGACAAAGACCCCCCCCCGTGTAGTCGACGCAGGCAGGGAGGGCTAACCACAGCACCGCCGCTCCTCGTAGACAAAAACACCGCTACGTAGCCCCTTAAAAGACCATTGGCGCAAGTTTCGTTTGCGAGCGCCTACGAAGGCTGGCATGGCACACGAAGGGGCGTGGTGGCCAGCACCACGCCTGGCCGCCTTTGTCTCCCCAATGGCGATGTTTACACACCACAACTGCTGTTCACACACTCTCATATACTCACACAAAGAACGGGAAACAGGCACGGATCCATCGCCGAGCCTTCACAGATTACTGAGAAAAGTGGTCATCGATATTCGTCACTGATGTTGGCTGTCGGTTGAACCGAGGTCTCTGGGTTCGTAGCAAAGTGCACTAACTGCTGACACCACCGGTTCCCCATAAACACGTGCACAGATGTCAACCACACACACACACAATCGTACAAAAACGCACACACAAGCGCACACAAATGCACGCACATCCAAACACGGGTGCACACACACACGTACGTGCATATATCCACATGTACACCGAGACACTCGCGCACAGAGATGCCCCATACAGCCACAATAGACTGTCGTGGCTGTTGGTATGCCAGTCGCTTGACGTTTTGGGCCTGTGCTCAGAAACCGTGCGTTAAATAAACTGCTTCCTAAACACAGGCGCACTACCATCACCACCGTTCCCATACCGCCACCAACACCACCCACTACCACCCACACCATGACCCACTATCACCGCCACTACCGTCCACCATCGCAACCGCCGCCAACCCTTTAAGCACCGCCACAACCAACACTAACACCACCACCGGCACCACCGGCACCACCACCACCGCCACCAACAAGATTACTGCCACTTCCGCAACCACCATATATGTATGTTGAACGTCTTTTGCACTGTACGTAGCCAACCGTGCTAATCGGAGGTGCAGGGAAGGACAACAAACGAAACACAAACATCAGTTCTGAAGAAATTCGTTTTTAACCACCACCACCACCACCACATTTGTACTTTCGGGGTCCCTGATCCTCTGCTCACAGTCAATGAGGACATTCATGATGGTGGGCAGGCACGCGTAAAGCTGCATAATGGGGAATTTGAGGCAGGGATGTCCTCTGGCTGCCACATCATTTCACTTATTTTATGCCTCCGTAATTTGAGACACTTTCCATGGCTGTACCGGAGGAGTTTCCATCTGGTACAGGTACATCTGGTACAGGTACATCGATTCTGGGGTGCGGTCCAGGAATGGCTCGCAAAATGGTCAACTATGTTTTGTTTGCCGATGACTGTCAATATAACTACTGCTCCCTCAGACAGAATGGAGACGACTCTGCTGCTGAACCAGACGCATGCTACTTCGGGATGGGAGCCTGACCATCAGTCTCACAAAAACAAAGCACCTGCCTCGGTACTTCATGTCATCAAATACTCCACCCCACCCCCTCCATTCTCCACGAGTGAGGGGGGCAATAATGGAGGAAAGTTTCTGAACCCGGGCAGTGTGCTTATGACAAACTGCGGTTTGGAAGCGGAGATCGCGCTCCGAATCAGTCGAGCGGAATTGTCTCTTCATCAGCCGCGTAACGCCGCCGCGTCGAAGCTGGCTGGCCTGTCGCTCTGCGTAAAGTTCTGGGGGCTTCTCGGCCACGGTTATGCCCTTCCTTCCCTGTACTTGCAAAACGTGGACTCCTTTTAAAGGAACCATCATCACCTTCGCCGCCACCGCTGCCATGACCACCGCCGTAAGTGGGAGGATCGGGCAGAGTGGGAGGAGCCAGATGCATTAGTGCAGCGAGAGATAACGCCACAGGTCTGTTGCTCTGAGAAAACATTTTTGTTGGTTTCTTCAGGAGATGATTTTGTGTCCGTGGCGGCACGTGCATGTGTGCGTGCCTGTGCGAGTGTGGGAGTGTGTGCGTGAGTGTGGTATGCATGTGTGGGTGGAGCGGTAGTGTAGCGGTTAACGCGCTGCGCTATGAACCCGGCAATCCGGGTTCGATTCCCACTCATGGCCAACACCAGTGACAATTATCTGAACCGGTCCTGGGCTTCCCCTAGGTCGACTCAGCCTCAAATTAGTACCTGGTGCGGTGTGTAAACATCGCCACTGGGGAGACAAAGGTGGTCAGGCGTGGTGCTGGCCACCCACCCTCTCATTCCGGCCTTCATAGGTGCTCGCTAACAGCACTTGCCCCTACAGTCTGTTCAGGCTATACGGGGGATCTTTGTCTTTGTATGTGCATGTGTATGGTCGACTCACCACTGCCTGTTCTATGAACCCAGTGACCAGAGTTCGATTCCCGCTCACGGCCAACACCAGTGACGATTATATGAACCGTTCCTGGGCCTTCCCTAGGTCGACTTAGCCTCAAGTGAGTACCTGGTGTGGTGTGTAAACATCGCCACTGGGGAGACAAAGGCGGACGGACATAGTAGCCGGTCTTATTACAGTGAGGGAATAAAGTATTTGATCCCTGCTCATTTTGTACGTTTGCCCACTGACAAAGAAATGATCAGTCTATAATATTAATGGTAGGTTTATTTGAACAGTGAGAGACAGAATAACAACAAGAAAATCCAGAAAAACGCATGTCAAAAATGTTATCAATTGATTTGCATTTTAATGAGGGAAATAAGTATTGACCCCCTCTCAATCAGAAAGATTTCTGGCTTCCAGGTGTCTTTTATACAGGTAACGAGCTGAGATTAGGAGCACACTCTTAAAGGGAGTGCTCCTAATCTCAGCTTGTTACCTGTATAAAAGACACCTGTCCACAGAAGCAATCAATCAATCAGATTCCAAACTCTCCACCATAGCCAAGACCAAAGAGCTTTCCAAGGATGCCAGGGACAAGATTGTAGACCTACACAAGGCTGGAATGGGCTACAAGACCATTGCCAAGCAGCTTGGTGAGAAGGTGACAACAGTTGGTGCGATTATTCGCAAATGGAAGAAACACAAAAGAACTGTCAATCTCCCTCGGCCTCGGGCTTCATGCAAGATCTCACCTCGTGGAGTTGCAATGATCATGAGAACGGTGAGGAATCAGCTCAGAACTACACGGGAAGATCTTGTCAATGATCTCAAGGCAGCTGGGACCATAGTCACCAAGAAAACAATTGGTAACACACTACACCGTGAAGGACTGAAATCCTGCAGCGCACGCAAGGTCCCCCCCTGCTCAAGAAAGCACATACACATGCCCGTCTGAAGTTTGCCAATGAACATCTGAATGATTCAGAGGACAACTGGGTGAAAGTGTTGTGGTCAGATGAGACCAAAATGGAGCTCTTTGGCATCAACTCAACTCGCCGTGTTTGGAGGAGGAGGAATGCTGTCTATGACCCCAAGAACACCATCCCCACCGTCAAACATGAAGGTGGAAACATGCTTTGGGGGTGTTTTTCTGCTAAGGGGACAGGACAACTTCACTGCATCAAAGGGACGATGGACGGGGCCATGTACCGTCAAATCTTGGGTGAGAACCTCCTTCCCTCAGCCAGGGCATTGAAAATGGGTCGTGGATGGGTATTCCAGCATGACAATGACCCAAAACACACGGCCAAGGCAACAAAGGAGTGGCTCAAGAAGAAGCACATTAAGGTCCTGGAGTGGCCTAGCCATTCTCCAGACCTTAATCCCATAGAAAACCTGTGGAGGGAGCTGAAGGTTCGAGTTGCCAAACGTCAGCCTCGAAACCTTAATGACTTGGAGAAGATCTGCAAAGAGGAGTGAGACAAAATCCCTCCTGAGATGTGTGCAAACCTGGTGGCCAACTACAAGAAACGTCTGACCTCTGTGATTGCCAACAAGGGTTTTGCCAGTACTAAGTAATGTTTTGCAGAGGGGGTAAAATACTTATTTCCCTCATTAAAATGCAAATCAATTTATAACATTATTGACATGCGTTTTTCTGGATTTTTTTTGTTATTCTCTCTCACTGTTCAAATAAACCTACCATTAAAATTATAGACTGATCATTTCTTTGTCAGTGGGCAAACGTACAAAATCAGCAGGGGATCAAATACTTTTTTCCCTCACTGTAGGTGCTCGCTAACAGCACTTGCAAAAGCTATACAGGGGACCTTTGTCTTTGTACGTGTGTGTGTGTCACATGCTCACTCTCCTCTCTCTCCACTCCCCACCTTTAGCTCAGTGGGAGGAGAGGGGAGGCCTTATCAGCTGGTGTGGTACCAAGGCCACCCCCCCACCCACAGCCCTGCCTCCCTGCCCCCTCCTAAATTCCCTCTGATTTCCACCACACCCCTCCGCCCACCTACCACCCCCGCCCCTTCACTCCGTAGCTCCATTCTGAATTCCCATGAGCGGAGACTCCTCTTGCTCCTCCTCCTCCTCGGTCCCGTGACCACAGCGCTCCATCGCTCTCCTCAAGGTCTGCTCGCGGGTTCTCAACGGTCCCCGGGTTCCACGACTCGAGACGCGGCGACGCGCCAGCCACGTCCCGATAGCGCCGACGCCTTCGGACGGCCTTGGACAGACCCCGTTAGTCAGACCTCGTTAACCAGACCTCGTTAGCCAGACCTCGTGAGCCAGACCTCGTGAGCCAGACCTCGTTAGTCAGACCCCGTTAGTCAGACCCCGTTAGTCAGACCCCGTTAGTCAGACCTCGTTAACCAGACCTCGTTAGCCAGACCTCGTGAGCCAGACCTCGTTAGCCAGACCTCGTGAGCCAGACCTCGTTAGTCAGACCTCGTTAGTCAGACCCCGTTAGTCAGACCTCGTTAACCAGACCCCGTTAACCAGACCTCGTTAGCCAGACCTCGTGAGCCAGACCTCGTTAGTCAGACCTCGTTAGTCAGACCCCGTTAGTCAGACCTCGTTAACCAGACCCCGTTAACCAGACCTCGTTAGCCAGACCTCGTGAGCCAGACCTCGTTAGTCAGACCTCGTTAGTCAGACCCCGTTAGTCAGACCTCGTTAACCAGACCCCGTTAACCAGACCTCGTTAGCCAGACCTCGTGAGCCAGACCTCGTTAGTCAGACCTCGTTAGTCAGACCCCGTTAGTCAGACCTCGTTAACCAGACCCCGTTAACCAGACCTCGTTAGCCAGACCTCGTGAGCCAGACCTCGTTAGTCAGACCTCGTTAGTCAGACCCCGTTAGTCAGACCTCGTTAACCAGACCCCGTTAACCAGACCTCGTTAGCCAGACCTCGTGAGCCAGACCTCGTTAGTCAGACCTCGTTAGTCAGACCCCGTTAGTCAGACCTCGTTAACCAGACCCCGTTAACCAGACCTCGTTAGCCAGACCTCGTGAGCCAGACCTCGTTAGTCAGACCTCGTTAGTCAGACCCCGTTAGTCAGACCCCGTTAGTCAGACCTCGTTAACCAGACCCCGTTAGTCAGACCTCGTTAGCCAGACCTCGTGAGCCAGACCTCGTTAGTCAGACCTCGTTAGTCAGACCCCGTTAGCCAGACCCCGTTAGTCAGACCCCGTTAGTCAGACCCCGTTAGTCAGATCCCGTTAGTCAGACCCCGTTAGCCAGACCCCGTTAGTCAGATCCCGTTAGTCAGACCCCGTTAGTCAGACCCCGTTAGTCAGACCTCGTTAACCAGACCTCGTTAGTCAGACCCCATTAGTCAGACCTCGTTAGTCAGATCCCGTTAGTCAGACCCCGTTAGTCAGACCTCGTTAACCAGACCTCGTTAGTCAGACCCCGTTAGTCAGACCTCGTTAGTTAGATCCCGTTAGTCAGACCTCGTTAGTCAGACCTCGTTAACCAGACCTCGTTAGTCAGACCCCGTTAGTCAGACCTCGTTAGTTAGATCCCGTTAGTCAGACCCCGTTAGCCAGACCCCGTTAGTCAGACCCCGTTAGCCAGACCCCGTTAGCCAGACCCCGTTAGTCAGACCTCGTTAGTCAGATCCCGTTAGTCAGACCCCGTTAGTCAGACCCTGTTAGCCAGACCCCGTTAAGGCAGACCCCATTAGGCACAGTAATTCTTGAGGATAAATAAAGATTATGATTCTTAAATCCTGCCGTGGATGTAACCCTTCACCGCGACCCCATTAGCCGGACTCCTTTAACGCTCCCTGTCGGACACCATTAGCCACACCCCGGCGATCAGACCCGACTACCGGACCCCGGTAGTCGGCAGCACCCCGTCAAGGGGACCCTGCCGGCGTGGCGGACGCGTGAGCCCCCTGCGCCGGCGATGACGAACTCCAGACCTCGGCGGGCAGGCGGACGGACCGTCCCGTCTCCCCCGTTATCGGCCGCATTTATCCCTATCTACCCCCCTCTCCCCCGGCCGCCACCCGCCACTACCGCTCCGAAGCCAAATCAGAATAATAGAATGAAATAATTGATAGCGGCCGGCTAGAGTTAGTCACAGAGAGATCCGCGCGGGCCTCCACTCCCCCCCCCCACGCCCTCGCAAACTTCCAGCCGCGCCCATGGCGCGGATTCCTCGCCGCTGCTCCCCTCTCCGTGCCGACCGCGCCGCCGCTGGGCGACGCACGGACAACTCAGAGGGATCGAGCGAGGGGTCGCGCGGCGAGCGAGAGATTCTGCGAGCGCTTTTTTTTTTTGGGGGGGGGGGGTCGCTTCTTAGATCGGGTGAGTGGGGGTAACAGACACAAACGACAAAAACACGCAGATTTATTTATCTCTGGTCGATGCGACGCTCTCCCTCCCTCTCTCTCCAGCCCACCAGCCCGCCCGCCCGCCCGCCACGAACCAGCACCCGGCTATCACCGTGAGAAGGGCCACAGTTGTAATGATAACTCCGGCGCGGCTATCCAGTGGAAAAGATTACGGAGGAATCGCATTCTTGGCACGAAAGGGAGACACACAACGAAAGGGAGAGCGAGACAGAGAGCCCCCTCCCTCTACCCCCTCCCCCCCAGGTCGGCCCCGTCACCCCGCGCACCACGCTCGCGGGGTTACAGCTGCGCTGCGTCTCGTGCCAACTCGGCCTCCGCTCGGGACTCGCACCGCGGGGATCAGACCGCCGCCTCCATCGAGCAGAGATCTACGCACACGGCTCGGCCGTGATTGAGACTCAACGAGTCACGTGGGTGCCAGACGAGTCTGCCACACCGACTGCTCTGTTAGATCTACAGAGTGTTCAACCACCACAATGTGCATCGCAACAACGCTCACCCACTCACTCACCCGTCCACCCACTCACCCACTCGTCCACTCACCCACTCGTCCACTCGTCCACTCAACGCAATGCAGGTCACAACGCTTGTTTCTCTGCTCATTCCCTCATACTGCTCCACTCTGGAATTCCCTCCTCCCATCATCGTCTCTCTCATCCCAGGTTCTTATAACAACCACACTCAAATCAAGAAATGTGTTACACTCTTACGAAGTACACCTAAAAGAGTGCCGATTGTTCCTCAGCAACCGTCATCAAAAAGCAAACACACACAACCACACACACACCTACACACACAACTGCACACACACACAACCACATAGAGACAGAACCCCAAACACACCGCCAGACGGACACGCAGCCAGACAACAGACGCGCGGCCACACAGACACAATACCATAGTCGCACACACGTGTGGGGTGTGGGTGCAGGCAGTCACCTCCGTGCCGTCGCCCCCATGCCCCCCGTGCCCCCCGTGTCGCATGACCCCGGGGTAGGGCCCCCACGTGACCCCCGGCAGCAGCTGGCGCCGACTGCGAACGCGGCACCGCTCCAGCGGAACCTCGCTGGCGCTCAGCTCCTCTGCAGACAGAGACACAGGGGAGACACAGAGAAGACACGGAGAAGACGGTCGTTAGTGCTCAACTCATCGGCATCTCGTGGATACCTGGAGACAGACCTGGGGGAGACACCTGGGGGAGACACGGGGGGGAGACACGGGGAGAAGGAGACACGGAGGAGACATGGGGGCATGGAGACATGGGAAAGATATAGGTGAGACACGGGGACAAGGAGACACTGCACCATGCGAGACATGAGGGAGCCAAGGCACCATTCCCATAAAGGACCACGCTTTATTAGATAAATATCAAGACAGACATTAAAAAAGCAGTGTCTGTGTCACTCCCAATGCACTTCATTACTTAGCCGTGGTGCACGCACGCTCGATCACGTGATGTGTACGCACGCTCGATCACGTGATGTGTACGCACGCTCGATCACGTGACGTGTACGCACGCTCGATCACGTGATGTGTACGCACGCTCGATCACGTGACGTGTACGCACGCTCGATCACATGATGTGTACGTACGCTCGATCACGTGACGTGTACGCACGCTCGATCACATGATGTGCACGCACGCTCGATCACGTGACGTGTACGCACGCTCGATCACGTGACGTGTACGCACGCTCGATCACGTGACGTGTACGCACGCTCGTTCACGTGACGTGTACGCACGCTCGTTCACGTGACCTGTACGCACGCTCGATCACGTGACGTGTACGCACGCTCGATCACGTGACGTGTACGCACGCTCGTTCACGTGACGTGTACGCACGCTCGATCACGTGACGTGTACGCACGCTCGATCACGTGACGTGTACGCACGCTCGATCACGTGACGTGCACGCACGCTCGATCACGTGACGTGTACGCACGCTCGTTCACGTGACGTGCACGCACGCTCACTGAAGTGAGCTCCTTCACCCGGCACAATGCTGCTGCGTTTGTTTAAACCGTGGGGGGCTGCGGGGGTTCCCCACCCCCCCCTCCACCGTCTCAAGTGACGTCCCGTTCAAGGGTGGTGAGAGGCACCCACCACCCTCCCCGGCAGCTGCGACGCACAGACGTCCCCCGCACCAAGCCTGGCACGCCCACCCGTGACCTCGTGCTCACGTGCAGACTCAACATCGGGGGCGACCGATGGTCCGGCACGCACGCCGACTCCCTCCAGTCGCTTGCTCACCGGCGGTCAGTCGCCTCCTTATCGCTCGTCTATCGCTACTACCATGGTTACCGTTACCGTGAATGTCAATCATTGATTCCTCCACGCATTTTAAGGACTCGGTCGCGATCAGACACCGAGCGTGTCGCCTCATCCACCGTACAGTGTTCAACTACCACCACACTGCAGGTCACAAAAACACACACTCACCCACTCACCCACTCACTCACCCACTCACCGACTCACTCACCCACTCACCGACTCACTCACCCACTCACCGACTCGCTCACCGACTCACTCACAGACTCACTCACCCACTCACTCACCGACTCACCCACTCACCGACTCACCCACTCACCCACTCACCCACCCGCCGACTCACTCACTCACCCACTCACCGACTCACCCACTCACTCACTCACTCACCCACTCATCGACTCACCCACTCACCCACCCGCCGACTCACTCACCGACTCACCCACTCACCGACTCACTCACTCACCCACTCACCCACTCACTCACCCACTCACCCACCCGCTGACTCACCCACTCACTAACTCACACACTCACCCACTCACCCACCCACTAACTCACCCACCCACTAACTCATCCACTCACCCACTCACCCACCCACTAACTCACCCACTCACCCACCCACTAACTCACACACTCACCCACTCACCCACCCACTAACTCACCCACTCACCCACCCACTAACTCACCCACTCACCCACCCACTAACTCACACACTCACCCACTCACCCACCCACTAACTCACCCACTCACCCACCCACTAACTCACCCACTCACTCACTCACTCACCCACTCACCGACTCACCCACTCACCCACCCGCCGACTCACTCACCGACTCACCCACTCACCCACCCGCCGACTCACTCACCGACTCACCGACTCACTCACTCACTCACCCACTCACCCACCCACCAACTCACACACTTCTTCCCTTGCACTGCTCCTCTCCACGTTGGAATTCCCTCCCTCCCATCATCGCCATCTCTTCTCCCCAAGAGCGCCTATTTACACCCGGGGGGGGGGGAGGGGGGGGCGTCACAGAGCACCTCACACCCTCGCTCAATCTATCGACGCACCTCCACAGTGCGTCGCTTGTTGCTCGCCTGCTCGGCGTACAGATGCGGCCCGCTCTCGGCGACTGCGCCAAAGCGCCCGCGGGCGCGAGCTGAAGCGGCGCGTGTCCCGGACGGAGGAGGAGGAGCAGGAGGGACGTGTTTGTTTAATACCAGGGGTGTCTGCGCAGAACCATCGTCTCAAAACACCACGCAGATAAAGTCTGCGCAAGCGGCAGGCGAGCACACGTTGTCAAAACAGAGATTAGCTCCCCATGGCGACGACGCGAGAAGCCGCGGCGGACAGCCGCAGATGCCTGGCGCGGCCCGCCACCAACTTAAACACACGGGCACTACCGCCTCCACCGCCACCGCCGCCGCCACCACCACCGCCACCGCCACCGCCACCACCACCACCACCGTCACCGCCAGCGGCGGAAACGCAGGCACCACCTAAAACAAAGCCTCTACACGACCACAAAAAATACGATCACCGCCACCACCACCACCACCACCACCGGGACCACCACAAACACCACCGCCGCCACCACAGCAACCACCCGCTGCTAAACCTGAACCCACACGCACGGCAACTCCACCGAACGGTGAGCGTCGACCCGTTCTGACCCCCCACCCCACCCCCCACATCCTGCCATGTCGCTCCACCATCCGGCTGCCCCTTTCCTTTCTCCTCCTCCATTCCCCCTCCCCACCGCCCCCCCCTCCCCACCGCCCCCCCCTCCCCACCGGCCCCCCTACCCACCACCCCCCCCCTCCCCACCGCCCCCCCCCTCCCCACCGCCCCCCCCTCCCCACCGGCCCCCCCTCCCCACCGGCCCCCCATCATTGTGTTTGTCTGTCCCAACTTGCAGTGGAGGGGGCGAGGGGGGGGCCGTGTGAGCGTCCCGCTCTCTTTTCGCCGCTCCCCTCGTGCTGCCGCTGCTGCCATTGTTGTTGTTGTCGTCGTCGTCGATGCAATTTGTAAATAACGCATAAAATAAACAAAACGGCGTGGCGGCAGTGGCGGCGGGAGGCAGCGCGGCGCTCATTTGTCACGGCGCGCGATAGCGCCGAGACGGATTTCGCGAGGAGAGAGCGCGGATGATTGTGGGGCTGCGAGGATCTGACGGAACATCTGCGAGCGTGCGGGGAGAGCGTGGCTCCCTGTGGCGAGAGCGTGTGAGCGGGAGAGCGGGAGAGAGAGCGTGTGAGCGGGAGAGAGAGCGGGAGAGCGGGAGAGAGAGCGTGTGAGCGGGAGAGAGAGCGGGAGAGCGGGAGAGAGAGCGTGTGAGCGGGAGAGCGGGAGAGAGAGCGTGTGAGCGGGAGAGAGAGCGGGAGAGCGGGAGAGCAGGAGAGCGGAGAGAGAGCGTGTGAGCGGGAGAGAGAGCGGGAGAGAGAGCGTGTGAGCGGGAGAGAGAGCGTGTGAGCGGGAGAGCGGAAGAGAGAGCGTGTGAGCGGGAGAGAGAGCGTGTGAGCGGGAGAGCGGGAGAGCGGGAGAGAGAACGTGTGAGCGGGAGAGAGAGCGTGTGAGCGGGAGAGAGAGCGTGTAAGCGGGAGAGAGAGAGCGGGAGAGAGAGCGTGTGAGCGGGAGAGAGAGCGTGTGAGCGGGAGAGAGAGCGTGTGAGCGGGAGAGAGAGAGCGGGAGAGAGAGCGTGTGAGCGGGAGAGAGAGAGCGGGAGAGAGAGCGTGTGAGCGGGAGAGAGAGAGCGGGGAGAGAGAGCGTGTGAGCGGGAGAGAGAGCGTGTGAGCGGGAGAGAGAGCGTGTGAGCGGGAGAGAGAGAGCGGGAGAGAGAGCGTGTGAGCGGGAGAGAGAGAGCGGGAGAGAGAGCGTGTGAGCGGGAGAGAGAGCGTGTGAGCGGGAGAGAGAGCGTGTGAGCGGGAGAGAGAGAACGGGAGAGAGAGTGTGTGAACGGGAGAGAGAGCAGGTGAGCGGGAGAGAGAGCATGTGAGCGGGAGAGAGAGGGCGGGAGAGAGGGCGTGTGAGCGGGAGAGAGAGTGTGTGAGCGGGAGAGAGAGAGCGGGAGAGAGAGCGTGTGAGCGGGAGAGAGAGAACGGGAGAGAGAGCGTGTGAGCGGGAGAGAGAGCGGGAGAGCGGGAGAGAGAGCGGGAGAGAGAGCGTGTGAGCGGGAGAGAGAGCGTGTGAGCGGGAGAGAGAGAACGGGAGAGAGAGCGTGTGAGCGGGAGAGAGAGCGTGTGAGCGGGAGAGAGAGCGGGAGAGCGGGAGAGAGAGCGTGTGAGCGGGAGAGAGAGCGTGTGAGCGGGAGAGCGGGAGAGAGAGAGCGTGAGAGAGAGCGTGTGAGCGGGAGAGAGAGCGGGAGAGCGGGAGAGAGAGCGGGAGAGAGAGAGCGGGAGAGCGGGAGAGAGTGAGAGCGCGCGTGAGAGTACGTGCGCGAGGAGCGGAGGCGCAGTGGTTAGCGCGCTGAGCTACCGAGGTCACTTCTCGCTCGAGAACCAATAACGGTGGCGACTATATCTGAACCGCTGACCCCGAGGTCAACTCGGCCTTAAATGAATGGCTGGCGTGGTGCGTAAACATCAGCGTTGGGGAAACAAAGGCGGCCGGGCGTGGCGCCGGCCATCCACCCCCTCTGGTGTGCCATGCCAGCCTTCGTAGGTACTTGCTAACAGCACTTGCCCCTGCAGTCGGTGTAGGCTACACGGGGGATATTCGTTTTGTCTTTGTCCAAGCGAGTGCATGCGCACGTTTGTAAGTCCCGGCGTGTGCCTGCTGAGGCTATTACGGGGGACCAATGTGCGTGACCGTGAT